TGTAACAAATTATTGAATTAGTTTCCTTCATTCATGGGCAAAATGTCATCTCTTAATTGGGGCAAACCAATGTGAAAGAAGTAAATCAGATGAGGTTCATTACAATCTTAAATATGACAAATGACATCCTCACTGTCAAATACATTCCTATTACTAGAATATATTTAAGTTGCCATCTAAACCTTCACACAATTGCGATGCAGTCACAAAGGGGGTACAGCACAGGGATGTCAAGCTGCAAGTTAATAGCAGAGCAATGGTTATTTCAGTTATTTTCAAAATATTGCCTGTTTTTGTTATTCATGCGTTTGAGCTTCATTTGTTTGCACAGCGGTCCATTTTGCAGGAGGAGCTTTACCTGCACAACATGTCATACAGTTCCCCGACTGCAAAGTGATTCACCGTCAGTCTCAGGATGCAACAAGCGGGTTTCTTTGTTGCGGTTGTGATGACAGACGGATTAGTGGTGCCAACTGTGGGTTTGTCACCTCTTTTTTTTTCTCTTTTTTCAACGGCTTACTCGGGTCTGAGAAAAGACTGACGAAATGGCTGATGAGCTGCTTCACGACTGTGGTCCTCACGAGTAACATTTTATGGAGGGAGTTACCAAGAGCTCTTGGCTAAAGCCTTGTGTCACTGAACCACGCGTGACACACCACAACATCTCCTGATGGTCCGCTACACGTCTCCCAGCGCCACCTGACAACCGACGGCTGACATCCTCCGGGATTCGGTCTAGGCGTCCTTGTGAGAGGACAGCCGGCAAATTTGTAAGGGATTAAAAGATCAAATATTTGGGGGCAACGCCATATAAGCCCCAAATTTTCTAAAATCAATTCCAAAATAAACGAGTACACGGGTTAGTAGAGTCCTCCCGGTTTATATCATGAATCAGATCAGAAAGGCACTTTCATTCAGCTATGCCCAATACATTCATCCAATTGCACAGCTCTGTTCTTGCGATTACCCTGTTGAATCTCACAGTTGTTTTCATTTTCACGTGTTTCAGCTCACTCGCAGTGGTTTGTCCCGTTGTTGGAATGCAAAATGCTAAACCGGCACAAGAAGGATCTTTTTCTCAGTCACACTGCGGTTGCGCTGACGGACATTTAGCAGGATGTTTCTCATCTCTGCTCTCAATAAACGCTGGCAGGCCGTCCATCACACGGTGCCGTCTCAGGTCACCTGTGAATCGTTTTGACGCATTGGCTCACAGACCTGAAGGAAATGGAAGACTAACTAAACTAAACCACCTCAAAATGTTCAGCTTGAAAAGCTCTGTCACAGAAAGGAAAAGAATTTGAAGGTGAAAAGGGAAAGTTCCACTTCCTGATTGCAGAAATCTGGATTTTCATGATGGAATTGTGTAAAATGAGGGGTCGTCGTGGCGCAGGGGTTAGAGAAGGTGTGCTGGGAAGCACAAGGTTGGTGGTTCAATTCCAAGCTGCCCCATGTTCCATGTCGAAGTGTCCCTGAGCAAGACACCTAACCCCTAATTGCTCCCCTGGCAAAATGTGAAAAAGCCATGGGTTTAAAGTGTAATGTAAGTCGCTTTGGATAAAAGCGTCTGCTAAATGACCTGTAATGTAATGTAATGTAAAAAAAAAAAATGTTATTGGATTTATATGGAAAGATAAGGAATTGGGTTTCTTTCCATGTTTTACACTCGTTTTTTGTTTAAAAGAAAATAAAGCATCCCCCCCAAAACGATGGTATAAAAGTTTTAAAATTAAGATCCCGTATCTTGCCCTAGTCATCATTTCTAAACTATTCATACAACTAAGCCAAAGCACAAAGCACAGACATGTGCGAATAAACTTGACCTGGATGAGGATATTGTTAAATTGATCAGCGTTGTCTATTTAAGGCCCAATCTCTTTCTGATCTGGCATGTCATCAATACACTTGTGAGTTTTGGCTGATAAACACAACACCGTTTTCACTTCAATGTCCTGTCAAGAGAATGTCCAGCTATATACGAGTTAACAACAAAACATCAACAATGATGTAATATGCCAACAGTAACACATGGACATCATCCATATAGGCATCGTTTCGTTGAAGGCATTTCAAATGATTTGCGTGACTAGTACACAAGACCAGGTGTTGAATATAGGCAAAGCATACATACACATTTATGAATACCCTCTATTGTGATGATGACGTTACTACTACTATAATTGGAGTACCTCACACATAATTCAGCCTTAAGCCAATTAGGGACTAAGGACAACTCGACTGTTCCAGGTCCACGTTGCAGCAGAATCCACGTTAGGGTTTTATCACGTCACTGGCTAATATTACCAACATCCCGGATTACGCTCCCTGGCTATAAATACCTAGTTTGTGACAACGAGCCATGCCGGCGAGCCTCAGGAAGTGCTTCTTGCATGTTGGCTAGCCCGCTAACATTAGCCACGATCCATTGTTAGCCCGCTACCCGGTGACTACCGTAGCGGCAACGTGCGCGTGTCCTCCGGTGCCGAACCTCGCTTTCGGTTTCAGAAACCGTCGGAGCGAAAAAAAAAACACCAGCAACAACAGCCCGGACCGGTTTTACTCCGACACCTATCGTCTAGCTACCGTTAGCTTCGTGCCACGGACACATGGGGTGAGGATGACAGCGGGTACGGTAAAAAAAAACAAAAAAAAACACACTCACCCAGAACCACCTGGACACTCTGAAGATCAGCTCCGAGTCATAGTGAGACGGGGGGGGCTGTTATCTGAAGGAAAACGTCGTTGAAGAGGAAAGGCGACTGATGTCGGGAGGGAGAATGTTGTCGCAGCGGAGAGGCTGTGTGGCCGGGTCGCGCTGTGTTGACAGCTCGGAGGGACGGACGGGAGTTCCACACGGCGGTAGTGAACTGGCCCGAACTGGCTGTCTGGCGGCCGGAAGTGACACGTGGTGACGTCACGGGCGGGGAGGGGAGGACTACACAAGGTGAAGAGCGCGCCAATCACCCCGACGTAACCTGACTAAACGAAGCGGAGGTTCATTAAACGGACCGTGAGTCACAGATTGGAGGTACTACATAAAAGCCAGATGCTGGCAGGGCAACAATGAGCTGAGGATGCATTGTTAGGCATGAACAGAGCATTGTGGTGCAGGGACAAGAAATAGTGTTAAGATATTCATTTTTGTATTGGTTAATTCATATTTCATTGACAATTTCTTAAGAAAGTTGTCATTATTGACAATGTTTCACCATGGGTCAAAGAAGGCGACTTCCCAAAAGCCAGCAGGTTCACTGAATGTTAGTTATTTTTGTTAATCACCCAAGAATGAATTGTAGCATTTTTGTCAATAGTATAAAAAAAGTTCACCCTGTCATTGAAAATGTGCACAGATTCATCCAAAGGACTGTGGGGGGCAGGGAGTCCCGTTTTAAACAAAGTTCTCAATAAATTCACTAACATATAATCCTTTATTCTGAGTTATTTGGTAAGGATTGGGTTCTCATTACTCAGCATGCATTTTTCTTATTTATTTATTCACTGCAATAATGGAATTTTGGCTTACTCCTGAACAACCCCCCCTCCATCCCCATCCCCTTCCCCTGCAAGGTGAACAAAAGGGCCTGAGGGCTCAAATCATCCAGCATCTTCCATGTCCGCTGCGTTGGAGCGTTCACTGACGCACGGGCCAAGAAAAACAAAAAGGCCCTCTCCCCACTGCTGCTTCAGATGTGCTAATCCATGCTCTTCATCACTTTTGCAAACAGAATTCCACCTTTCTATACGGGACAGTTTGTTTTCCATTGGACCCACTCTCAGAAGGCACAGAGATGAGGCCCAGAGATGGAGCAGTGCTAACTCAGCACTTTTCACATCAGACAGCTTCCACAGAGTACAAAACACTTCATGTTCTTCTTTAATTTATTGAATGTCTTTGGAAATACAAATGGAAAAACAGCAACTGGGGTTTAGGTTGATTTTCTACAGAACTTTTCAGTTATAGTAAATCAAATGTATGAATCTATTAAAACAATAAATCTTCAGCAAATTTGAGAAGGCCTGTTATGCAATTTGAACTTAGTTAAACAGCCACTATGTGTGTAATGACTGATCTCACTCAGCATCACAGATTGCTCATCTCCGTATGATGTTGGTTATAATCAATAAACAATATAGTTTAATCATCTTCCAAACCGGCCTGTCATGTCATGTTTACACGACATTTACACACATGCAGATATCAGCAATTGCTTTGCCACACTTCATTAGCCGTTTCCCAGTGATTTGTCTCAGAGGGACATTGACTCGAGGAAATGTAACTGGGCGGAGTAAAACGTTCTCCATACCATTGCTCTAATCTGTGTATTGTTCCGTTATCAGGTTCTAGGAAGTCCCTTCAGTTAAAAATGCCCTGCTCTGTTGCTCCATCATCCTGGTCCAAAGCCCCCGAGCAAGCCGATGGACACGAGGTCTGACGGACGATGGAGAGGACGGAGGCGCCCTGGCCGTCTAGTCCGGTGCTTTATCTGCCCTGCGGGGCTTTTTTCCAGTCCAGCCCTGATAACCCAAGTCGACCAGCAAAATACAGGATGTGACCAAAGAACCTTTGAAGGCAGCGGGGTCGCAATTCTCTTTTATTAGGGGGAGGCCTTTTCAGTAAAACAGACCTCAGGGGTTTTGATGGAGAGTTGACAACCTCTGTAGTCTTCATTCACTGCAAAACAGCCTGTAATTACAGCAGTAGAATAAAGAGCTCCATTTTGTCCTCGGAGGCCCTTATTCGAATGAGCAGTAATTGGAGGCGTTAGTGAGGCATAGGCGCTATCAGTATAATATTAGCTACTTCTGCAGTAGATAATGACTTAATAGATGTTTAATTGAAATCTTTGATGTCGTTACTTGAAGGACAAAGCTGCACATGGCAAGAATATTTAACATCGCCCGCCAAAATGATCTTCTGAACAGGCCTGAACAGCCTGGTGAGGTGATGAGAAAGATGCAGGGCACCACGCACACTGTTAAGTAAAACAAGACAAATAAAGTTTTGCTGTTGACACTTTTTATTTCCCCTGAAATGAATGCACCAGATCACTTTACTAATGCAGATTTACATTAGTTGGTTTGACTTTTTTTCCCCCCCATCTTGCAGGGCCGGCGCAGGTGCAGATGTTATTCAGTTTGGGGTTTGCTGGCCATTCTTTTGGTGGAAGGTTGTCTACGTCCTGTTGTCAAGCCTCACAATCCCACTGCAAATATGGAAAAGTTAAGATATTACATAGCAGAATAAAAAAAACATATGATCGTGTAGAATCTAACCATTAACTAACCATCCCTGTACACAATATGGTTATGATTCAGGGGAATTGACCATCTGTTAAAGTGGTCCCTCGAAGTGTCTCTATATCAGATGTAAACGCCCTTCATCAAGTACCTTTTTCTTTTCGTGTTGACCTGAAATGAAATAGTTCATGCCGTATGTTCTTACTCGTGCATCAGACTCCGCTAAATGTCAAGAATGCGAAATGCTCAAGACCTGCTCACGCGCAGAGCAAAGTCCTGGCCAGCAGCCATCACACAACGGACCATAAACGTCACCCAAAATAGCAGAGGGTAACACTGGCCCCTTATAGACAAGGAAAGCATTTTGCACTACTTCCTAGGTAGACAGGCCCTGCCCAGTGCTGGTCTTTAATCAAATATCCTCTACAGGAGAACAATTAGGCCACAAAGCAAATCTCAAACAATCCCAACCCAACTGCCCCTCAATACATACACACCCACCCCTCTCCCTTTAAAGACCCGGCGCTCAGCAGAAATGTGCAAGAAACACAACAGAAGACAATTCAAGCAGCAGGCTACATTGACAGCCCAGCGTATGCAGGCAGCACACGCTAAAACGTTGTGCGGTTTTATCAGGATCAGCAAATTATGGCGGTATGGAAAGCAGACATTTAAATTAGTGTTGTATGTAGATCGAGTAGACTGTTCCCTAGCGCTCATCTCCCACTTGCTTTGGAACATTTCACAGGTGGGTGATCTCTGCCTTCGATGAGGTGCAAAGGCTTCGCAACCAGATAAAAAGTAACAGTTCTCAATGAGCAGATCGGTGAAGTTCAGATGAAACATTACTCAGAGTTAAGCCATCTTATTATTGAATCACCAAGTTTCTGTTAATTCTAACAGCATTGGGGGGAAAGGGCAACGCAGGGAGGGACAAAACTATGAATGCTGTTGTCTTTGCATGTATTAGACAAAGAGTTCAGACTAGCAATCGAATCGCAAAAGATGAGTCATTATCAGGAGTGTTTACATTTAGTTTTAAAAGACTCAAAGACTAATCAGTGCTCTCGCTAAAACAGAAAATATGTAACCTCCAGGGCTCAGCGCAAACAAACCGTCTCCAACCAATGAGAGTTGAGGTTGGATTAAGTTGTGGAGGAGGAGAATTCACACAGCCAGATAAAGTTGCATTCTTGTAAAACTTGCACAGGTGGTACATTTTGAACACTTTGAGGCTTCTTACTTTTATATTTAACAAATTAAAATAAGGGCATTCTGGTAATTAGCTTAATTCCGGTTTAAAAGTATCAAGCTGCAACAGTTTGTGCTCACACCATTTGCCTGCGTTTCTTAGATAAAAAGGGAACATCCTCCAGAGCTTGAGAACATTAAGGGAGTTTCTCTTGTGGCTGGGAGCGCCTGATAAGGAACAGCTTGTGATTTCACTCTCCCTGTAAACTCAAAGTATGTTGTTGTTGTTTTTTTTAAAGAGGGGAATTTATATAAATGTAAACTGCCGTCAAAGACAAGATTGTTTTTTTGCCGTGGATCCGATATTAAATTCTGAGCACAATTGTACACTGCAGAATGAAGCCACGAAAAGAACCGCTTCTCACGATCCTTCTCTCCGTACACTTTAGCACACAAATATCGTCCACACACGGGGTTCTTTATAGAGTGTGACTCATTATTACAAGAACCACCGACGACCGTCTGACTAACTTCCCTCGGGGTCACATGTGAAAAGCCGGAATCTCAGCAGATCAAACTGCTGACGTCTCTTCACCACTTCCTCATGGTCATAATCTTCTACAAATGTATATGCTGGGCATTAGAGTCCTCTAATTAAACAGAAGCAGCCCATTCATAAATAGGTGAGATATAATACAAATATAAAACACACACTCACAGAGTTCACCACAGAGTTAAAGTGTGAGTCAAGCAGTTACACTCAGTTATATTCATTCATGAAACACATTCCGTTAACAGGGTGTCACCACCTAGTGGTCACCATGGGAACTACACATCGCTGTATTTACTGGAGGGCCTTAATCGTTCACTGCAAGACCGACAAGCCATGCAACAGTGCACATTGTAGACTTTGTTTAGATGGCAGGAAAAAAAATATATTGTTACGCCGCTGATCGAATTTAAAAAATCAAGGTTGAAATACTGAGTCAAGGTTATTACTTGCGAAACATTAAATCAGAAGAACAGTTAAGGGGGAAATGTGTAGCTCGACAGTCGACTCTCCCTGACTCCCAACATCACCGCGACAACGCGATCCTGTAGATACACGCTGTCGCTGTCGAGACTACATTATCAGAGTAAATATTTTGCATTCAATGATTGTTTAACTTGCTCAAAGTTTGTAAGAAAAGATCATACTGCTCACCAACAGGGCTAAACAGGGCTCCAACCCACCTCCAGGTCAGAGTCGACCAGAGAAGAGTCACAAGACGTGTCCGAGGAGCAGAAACTGTCCACTCTGATAACGCGCACCGTCTGGCTGAGGCACCGGGCCTCCACCGCCTCCTTAAGACACATCTGTAAAACCAAAACAATGCACATGTTTAGCTGCCAGTACGACCACGGATTGAGCTGAAGAAACGGAGCGTAGACCTTTCGCTTACTTCTCCTGCGGCGTCGACATCGACATCCATATAACCACCCATCTCTGTCACCTTCCGGACATTTGTCTTTTGAAGGCGAGATTGAATATAATTAGGATCGAACCAAAACATCATTAGCATTCATTTCATGAAAATTACCCAAATCTTTTCAGCAGAATGCCTGCAAAACTGTTTCAGTGACTCAACCAGATAACTCAATTAGTGAAATTACGCATTAGGTAATCTTCCAATAATGTCAATATTACATATAAACGTTTGGTTCTTTATTTACTCTGAAAGTTTGTTGAGATAATGAGTCCTGTAGAAAGAAAATCAACTATCAAATCCTACTTTAGTCCCTGCTGAAGAATGAAGTTGCTGTTTTCCTGGTCTCTTCATGACAGCGTTATCTTCAGTGAGGGCGCAGGAGCTACTTAAGAGGCTCTCTTCGTCTGGAGACACACTTGTAAGCTTCTGCGTAGTTCCTCTCCTCCAACAGTGGACGACAAGAATCTGAAGACGTTGGATTGAAGGTCGACATCTGGCTGAAAGTCCGTACAATTCCACACACATTCAAGCCAGTCAGGACATAATTGAAGCAATTTGTGCGACATTGGTCTTTCGGAGCGGTTATTTCCCAGAGGACCAACATTGCAGGCAGTGTCGTGAAGTTCTCGTCTCGCGCCCTCTAACGATGACTTTTGGGCTTTTTCTTGATCTGCTCTTTCTCCTTCTGTGGAATGCGGTCACTTTTTTTGGCCATAAAAGGATACGAGAAGGTCAATGGTGACACAGCCGGTTGCCGACAGCAGCCACGGCATGACTCTCAGAAGAAACCCAACCCGAGTGTCACAGAGCAGTACGGCAGCAGCATAGAGGGCACCGGACAGTGAGCACAGCAGTCTGGAGAACATGTTGGCCCGGGTCAACACTAGTCCTCTGTACTGAAAAGGAGGAAACATGGAATGGAAGCACGTCAACACCGGGAACTGTTTTGGAAAAGCAGCACTGTGTTACTTACTGCTCTGCAGAGAGCAGGGAACCTGGAGGTGCATGCGATGACACAGGAGAGGAGGCCAAGTACGTAACCCAGGACTTCAGTGTTGTCCTGTCACGAGAACGGTTTAAAGTGGTTATAATGTATGATACAATACAGGGGGGGGGGGGAGAAGTCTAAATAGGCAGTGTTGAAGAACATGAACCCCGAACCAAACAGCGAGAATTGAAGATGCTGTAAAATATATATAAACGTGTACGTTTCCACCTTTCACTACACATGACATTTAAATGCATTTGTCTATATAAATACAATACACACCATTAAAAAAAAAGGACTGCGGCCGGCTAAAGAGGGCTGTGTGTTTACCTGGAGGGTGGCAAACAGCAGTCTCCTCCTGTCTAAGGGAGGCCTTACTGCTGGGAGGTGGGACGCTCTGGATTTCCAAAAGCCTCCTGCAACAACCATCAGTACACACACAGCGAGGAGGTGCTGCCTCCTCCGCCCTTTCATCATCCTCAGCCTCCTGCCTGAGATGGAGAACAAACGAACGGACACACACACGCACACCTCGTGAGTTTGGTTATCTATAGAGCGTCCGATACGTTCCCTCACTATTTTGCCTAAAGGGGTAGGGCAGTTGGACGCAACTACTAAAAATACCTGCTCCACTTTGTTTGAACAAGGGACGGTTTGTAGAATGAGAACGATGTGGTTTGGGTTATCATGGAGTTATGGCATTTCTCTATACGTACCTTCTCTCGAGTTCCAGTGCAGGAGCACATGGGAGCAGCAAGAAATACAATTAACAGCATCTACAGTAGCAGCAAAAGCACCCATCAAAACCTACAGAGCAGGAAGCAATGATGAGTTACTACAATTTGATTCATTCAAAGTGCCGAAATTAAAGCTAGGTTACCTGAATATGCAGCTGTCTGGACAGAATGGCTCCTATGGTGCTGCACAGGTCACCGAGGAAGCCGTAGAGGGAGATGGTTCCTCCTGAGGCTTCTCCTCGAAATGTGCACCTCTGATACACGAAGCTGAAAGGAGTTAACGCTGGTTTATTGTTGGAATCAATGAAGAAAAAGAAAAGAATGTAACTACTGCTGAATCAAGACTTACAGAAAGCATGACAGCAGCAAAACCAGCATGGATAGAAAGCTGAGGCCGATGGGGATGCAGCGTTTCTCTGAGTTCTGAGAGAAACAGGTGGTGACGGCATCAACGCAAAATTCAGCCAAACCGAAGGGAAAGGTGAGGGGATTCCCTCTGGGCGGACCCTCCAGGGTCAACCTACGTCCCCTTGTGTCCATTTCAAGGAGGCTTACATTTGGTTGTGCTAGAATAAACTAATCCATGCAGCACCTGTGCAGCCACGCAGCTGTCAAGACACTCAACGGCATGATGGCACCTGCAGTGTGGGGCGGAGCTAAAGCCTAGTTTATGCTTCTGCGTTTTCAGAGCGACGCAGACGCAAGAGACCCGTGCGTGTCCCTTGCGTGTCCCTTTTCACACCTCCTTGCGTGCTTGCGTGCGTCGACCCATTTTTCTAGCCTCCCGCGCGCGGCACCCGAGAGTTCTTTAGCTAAAATTCCTAAAACAAAACCCATTCATTCTCTATGGCAGTGCTAAACCACTACGGATGTAATATATCTTTGGCCACCGGTGGCGCTGGTGTGCAGACCGAGCGTTTCTCCGGAAATTCTCCGTCAGTCTACCCGGGAAAGAGGACCGAAGCGACGGTGCACCTTCGTCGGACCTCGCGCTGTGAGGAAGTCACTAAACAGTAAGCCATGACGTATAATGTGTAATAATTATTCAGATAAATATGCAGCGTTTGCTGCTGTACGTCATTTAACACAGATTTTCACTATCTGTTCATCGTTTAAACATGATATACTGTAAACGTACTTGGAGAAGTCAGCTATAAATGTCTTTAGCTGTAAATAGTAACAATATAGTATATGTTACACTATACCCTATATTGTATATTATATTCTGTATACATATAATGCACGTACCGAGAGAATAGTAAACTATAAACGTTGTTAGCCATAAATACTGTACTTTAGTACAGGTGTCATGTCTATAAATGCATTTATGTTAGTGTCACGCCACATGTTAGTTTAAAGTTGTGTTCACGGGTGTTTGACTGCATTAATTACTAGTTGCATATCACCGATGTTACTCAACTAATACATGAGGATCTTGTAATAGATTAAACCACCAGAATTGTTTAAAGTCAGTCAAATGTAAACATATTAATGCCTCAATGATTAGGATAATATATGATATATTTGGCATCGTCCCTGAAGCCCATGAGGGACTGGCACAGCGCTACAGCGCTGCAGGCATAGAAAAGGGACAATACCAGTGGGTAGACAGGTAAATTATATCAATATTTTTGACCATCATTGGTGACACAAACAGCGCATAGTCACAACTTGGATTACTTTTCTTTTTTTTCAGTTTAATTAAAGAAAAGCCCTTTGCATTCAATTTTATTTTGATGGCCATATACACTGGAGCACACATGGTGGTCTATATGACTGCTGTCACATTGATGGCTTTCCTTTTCTTTTTTCTTTCAGGGATTTCTGTGCATTGCTGAGCTGGGCAGAGTCGTTTGCAGGAGAGCATCTGAAATGGGATTCTTGGAGAACAACAGATGCAATTGTTGCCGATGTCACTTCTGATAACCTCCGAAACCCATGTGCTTCTCTCTCTCTCTCTCTCCTATTTCTTTGTCTCCTTGTCCTGCATCTTGCGCCTCATTTTGTCCATCTCCGTCTATTCTCTAGCCTCTATTCTTTTTTTTAAGTCGAGGCAGATGTTTTCAAGGACTGTTTTGTCGTCCTCTAATTCTTGGATCCTGGTGATAAGGATCTGATGTTCTTTGGGGATGGTATCCTCTGTTTGTTGGATCTTAGAGATCAGGTAGATGGATGAGGTAGGATGGAGTGGGAGGGGAAGGAAGGTGTTCTTACAGGTGTCCAGTCTCAGGCACGTTGATATTGACGTCCTGGATGGACTCTATTTTTTTCTCTTCTCTCTTCTATTTCTTTGTCTCCTTGTCCTGCATCTTGCGCCTCATTTTGTCCATCTCCGTCTGCCGGTCTTGCATCCGTCTCCAAAAAGTGCCTCTATTTTTTTTTTAAGTCGAGGCAGATGTTTTCAAGGACTGTTTTGTTGTCCTCTAATTCTTGGATCCTGGTGATAAGGATCTGATGTTCTTTGGGGAGGGTATCCTCCGTTTGTTGGATCTCAGAGATCAGGCACAACTCAGTGAAACCACTACTTTTGACCATCTCGTGGTGAGTACTCTTGGCTTTGTCGTAGGGCGGCGATTTGCGTTCTTTTTTTTTTAAATGGGGGGGGCGATTTGTTTTTTCGTTTTTTTTAATGGGGAAAAATGCCCCCCTCCGCCCCTGCCCCCCGCAGACCAGACGCCCCATTCAATGGGTATATCTTATTCCCTGCGCCCCATCCAGTAAGTGTTCTTTTCCAACTTCGTGGACTGGAAAGTAGCACAGCGGCTGAGGAATGAGGAATCTTTTACATCTCAGCCAATTGCCTCCACCTGGCACCGTTCCCTGAGCCACTCCCTTCTCTGTCCCCTCTGCAGCCGAGCCAAACCACGCCCGCCACCACATATCCCCACCGCCCGACTTAGGCCGGGGAGCCGTCCGGCCTAGCCTACTCCCCCCCTCCCCCCTTCAGGAGCGGGAGAGGAAATCAGCCACAGCCATCAGCGCCCCCGGCCTATGGACCACCTTGAAATTAAAAGGCTGTAGGGCCAGATACCGCCGAGTGATCCGGGCGTTGGCATCTTTCATGCGGTGGAGCCATTGGAGCGGGGCGTGGTCCGAACAGAGGTGAAAGAGCGTCCCCGGAGTAGTAGCGCAGGAGCCGACCGCCCACCGGA